TTTTTTTTTTTTTTTTTTTTTTTTTTTTTTTCTGTCCAGAAATTGGAATGGCAAAACTACTGAAAAAGTCTGCTTCTGTAAACGTTGCAAAGAAAAAAACAAAACGACGGAAAAGAAAAGCCGCTCGGGACGATGACGACGATGAGGTTGCAGACTTCGTTTCACATCTACATAATAAATTTCAAAATCGAACAGCACGTCATTTTGATGACCATCCACCGTGTCTGCGAAAAAATCAGGGTTATTTTGACAGTTTTTGAAACCATCTTTATCTGAAATCTATTTACCTTCTTCCTAGCTCTTCAGTAGGTCGTTTTACTCACAGCTATAAATAAGAAATTTTGTAGATGGGAACTACGAAATCTGTAACAGCGAAAGATACTCGGCTGTAATCAACAGGGCCAAAGACTCAATAAGTAGAAAAGTTGACCAGGTTTTTTTCGCCTGTTTTTTCATTGTTATTTTCATTTTCACATTCTGAATTTCATTGTTCTTCACTGTTCCTTCTTATATAAATAGCACGGCTCTAGTGCTTTCATACAATGCAGCTTATTTTTTTCAATTACTATTAGAACCTCATTTACATGTAAGAAAACGGAGGCGCATGAGCAGTTTGCAAAAATTAAACTCTTTTTTTTTTTTATATTTTATTGTTGCGTAGGAAATGGTACTATTTTTATATGAATAGGCATGCTTACAGTCTGCCTAGATAAATTAGAGCGGAAGCTTTTGTACGGAAAGAAAAATGCGCAGATATCCGTAAACAGTTTTATTTTAGCATGAATAATATTTTAATCAGCTACTAAATAGGGGTTCTCACAAGAAGAATACGTGGATTCACGGTGGAGTTGTGCTTTTTGTCAACAGCGCTCTTTACGGTCAGTGCTTGGCGATCTGTTTGGTCCTTATTATGTTAAAATACCTGACGAGAACTGGCCTACTTTTCTTGCTAAGAAACCGGCGCGTCTTCCTAAACAGGTACAGGCTTCTTTTTTTCATTATTATTATTTTTGAAACACGCCATTATAGTCATTTCTGTAATCTTTTAGTCAGAACATTGGTTTGACCTCTGGATGCATGGTGACTGTGCTTTATCAGCTCCAGGAATTCATCTCTGTGGCGGAAAACTCCCTGGTTTAGAAAAGGCAATTTTAACTTTCTGGAAACAGGTGTTTTTTGGT